TTTCTAGCAAAAGACAGTCAGTTGTGCCTGTCTGGAAGTGAATGGTAGCACCATTGGCATGCCCTGTGAGGGAAAGGTTGTGTCAACATACACCAAGCACAGAAGGCCTGCACAACCCCTGCTCCTCTCCAGCAGCACAGGGTGACGCCAAGGCAGGGGCCTTAGTGTTCCAGGAATGTTTGTGCCAGCAAAATGAGGCGCGCTCATGTTACAGCACTTTCCAAAACCAAGCCAGTACATTTGGTGAATCCTTTCCAAGGAGGCTGATCAGATTTCTTAAGATCAAATGAATGTTACAGATACTCCACTGAAACCTGTTCACAAATAATATTGCACTCTAGTGCATTGCATTTACTGTGAATTTTAAAAACCCATTTGTATGGAATGATAATAGATTTTGCATGCATTTCATTTTTCATCTGTGAAGTGCAGGACAATTAAGTTCATGGTCAAGTATGTGTGGGACAGCCAGCCCGTTGAAGATGAACTTTGACTGGCCTAGAACTAAAATGCCTGGGGCAGCTGTGTAGCTCAAGTAACTGATTAGAAACTGATACTGAAAAATGATTGAGAACTAAATTCCAGGAGGTCACAAAAGACTAAAAGCACACCAATGTCTTTTTCCACCACAACCCAGGTCATTAGAGTATGAGCACAGCCTTCCATAGCATGGTCTAGCAGAACTTGCACCAATCCCCATCAGTACATCTACATTAATGCAGGTTTCTAAGGAAAGAGCTGCAGCTATTTAAGTATCTAATGGTTTAGAGTATCAGCCTTTCTTGCCTCAATACTATCACTCCTCATGGAGTTCTACTGGGTAACAGTTCACATTGCAAAGAAATTTCTTTTCCTTCTCCCTTCACAGCTGCTCTCTTTCCTTCAACAAAGAGAACTCACTTCCTAGATCTATTCTGTTTTTTACACTGAAGGAAGCAGAGGTCATCTGGAGGGTCCATACTTTCCACATCTCTGGATCACATGTTTCTTTCTCCAAGAATGGTCCAAATAATTCAAATCCCTGTCACTTGCCTGTCTGCATCCTTTAACTTCCCCAAAGCAGCACGGGGAAGCACACTTAAGGCTCTGGGGAACTAGGTAGCCAGACACTGAAAATGAGCAGTCCTAAAATGCAGCATTTCACGCAAGCTAGTAAGAAGACAAGTTCTGTCTGCCTGATCAAACCTCTGGCACAGCTAGTGAGGCTTCCATCCTAATTTTCTGGTTTCACATGAAAACATAGCATGGGTGAAGTGATAAGAACAAATTCAACAGGGAGTTTAGGGAAGGAAGCTGTCAGAAAAAAACCCCAAATCAGCTTGACATCCACAATTCCTGAACCCATTATGAGATTTTTACATGGATAATTCCACTCAGGCCAGCACTGTGCACTAAGCACTCACTGAATAGCTGTGTTAGTGCACCTTGAACAGTGCAGACTGACGGCACTTGAATTAAAACTAAGTTGGTATAGACAGAGAGTGCAGACTCTCACTGTGTAGGGAGGCAAGTACAAACGGACATTCTTAATGTTTCCCATCTCCTACATCTGATGTCTTGCAATTTGATGTCCTGCACAAGTGCTGACACCATGTACAGCTTTTCTTGACAGCCATATAAAAACTAACCAGTTCCCCACCCTGTAAAAAGAACTCCACAGGAAAATTGAGTGTGATAATAAAAGTGAGTAGCAGCAAATACTATCCAAACTGTCAGGTTATAAACAATACCCATGAAACCTTAATGGCCAGGATCAATAAAAGGAAAGGCCATTGCTCTTGAGAGCCAAGAGCCATTAGAAAAATAAAAAGCTTTCTGTCTCAGAGCATTTATGTCTAGATGTCATATTCCACTGCTTCTCCCATGGCCTCCTAGACTGAACAAGCAAGTTCATTTATACTTCCAGTGCTGCAACAGGGAAGCCAAGTCACAGATTGCCTGGGAAGGCATTCCATGACTTTGAAACATACTGTGTAGAGCCACATGACTATTTCATGCAAATGTCCAAGATCACCAAAACTTAGGTCTTAAGTTTTCCCATCACAACAGTGAATTTCCTAATGCACATATATGCCTTTTCATTTGAAAGGATTTCCAACGTTTCCAGACTTTTATGGGAATAAGACAACTGGCTGTACCCATCTCTACTATCTTTACAGAAACTAGATTCATTTCTTCCACAGTAGTGGAACACTCCACTCCAGTTTCACTGCTGCAAGCCATGTCTAAAAAAGTTAAAATGATCTTTTAGCACAGTCATTTTCCTTGTAACCAAGTGCAGGAGATTCTGATTTTCTCCTGTTTTACTCTTACTTGGTTGAAAATTGCTATCATTAGTGACTGCTCCCATATTTTTCATGTTAACTATTTTTCCTCTCACCAATAAAATTTTCATAAAATTATTTTTGTTGAGAAAAAAATCACTGTAAATTTTGTGCACGTAACTAAACTGCTGCAAGCTTTTTGTACTTCAGCAAATTAATCAATTTGTGCTTAGGAAAATAGTTTTTCAAGGTAAGATTAAGCTAACTTCCCAAATATTGTGGCGATGCTTTTCGTTCAAGACATTGGGATGCTGGAACTGCGTAACTGACATGCATGTCAGTTGGCCGAGATCACATGCTGATAGAGTTTAGCTTGTACAAATACTGACTTGTGCAAAGTGAAAGCCAGCTCAATGTCTCTGAGCACAACTTCCTGAATAGCTCCTAATCATCTAAGAAAAAACACTCTATTAAAAATAATTACTTTTTAATCTTAGTTTTTCCCATACAGCTTTAGCAAGGCTGAATGAGTCACCAATGCAAACTAATAGCTCACATGAAAAAGCAACTGTCATACTGAAGAGGAGATTCTATGAATTGTATACACTTAGAGCACAAACATCATTCGTGAAAGTTCTCATTTGCTAACAAAGAAGTCTGACCTATTAGTGCTTAATAGTATTTCCTATCACTTTATGCCATTTTTCTTCTTTTCAAAATGGATCTTAACTCATCTACATCTATTATCTATGCAAGCATATTTCAGTCTGTGGAACGCTCCATTACAGCTTACTTCGGCTGTCCATTATCGACATAACTTGATTATCTGAATCGCATACTACCGTTTTGGCACTGTGGGACAAGGCAAGCCTTAAAAAAAAGGAAACAAAACAATAGATGAGCAAGAAGGCAGTAAATAATGACACTTCCACTAGAATTATGTGGACAAAGAGTAATGTATACCACAATAAACGAGTCTTCAGCATTCTGAAAATATTTTAAGAAAACTAAGAATTACTTTAATCATTCAACAATAAATAAGTTGTCCTGGATGCGGTAAACCACCTTTTTTTTTTAATGATGTGGCAACTAGATTTGTTGCAATTTAGATGTCAGCAAGTACAAAAGCACAACAATTACTCACATGAGATGTCCCTAACAGCACTTGATCAAAATTATGGTTTTAAGTGACTTGCATCTGTGATATGCATTAGGATAATCTGGTTTTGTTAGTCAAAGATTTGGAAATCCATACTCTGTGTGGAAGGAGAGGCGATTATTTGTAGTTTTAAATGCCAAGACAGAGAGACAGTCACTGGACCATTTTTCAGGTCCAATATTCAGGTAACCTAACCCCAAATATGCAACAAGCCTAAGCACAAAAGGAAACATTTTCTTTCAATGAAAAAAAAAAAAGGATTCAACAGAAAAGCAGATAGAAGTTCTAAAGTAAATTATCAGAAATTATTTTCCTTAACTTTCAAATCCAAAATAATCCAGAACAATGTAAATATTTTTAAAAAGGTATCATACATATACTCATAATATCACTAGCATTCATTAGAAGAGAGAAAAAGAAGCTCGACTGGGCTATAAGAATTCAATTACATGCATCAAAATGGCACCCCATCTGCCCTCAACAATTTGGAAAGACCATTTTCTTCTGGTGTCTAATATAAAGCCCATTTCAGTACATTTAGGATTAGGCTCCTGGTTTCTCTAACTCTGGCTGAAAACCTTGCCTAAGCACACTAGAGGCACATGTGCACATCCTATCAGGCAGCAGAAGTTACTCCATACATCTCCCTGCCTCACTTGCATTCGCTGAAACAGCTAGAGCATGCCCTTTGAGAAAAATCTCAAAGATTTTTCTTTGACAGAATCTGGAACATCTGAAAAGTTTTAATTTAAACTCTTTTCTAAGAAATACCTGTCTACCCAGTGTTCTCACAGAAGCTAACAAATGTGTTGCAGTTTTGTTAGCATCTTTCTACTTTGTGTACTTGTCTTACACATTATCTAGAATGCCCACTTACAGGCAAACGTGGGAGTTACAAAGTCATGCGGAACATTCAGCCATACATTTTGCTTTAAAGTACCCTGCTCTGTCTTGAAAACCTCAGGTAAAGATCTTTTTCCCTTACGTGTTAGTCTGTTCTTGACACTGTTTTAGCTCTATTGCACATCCATGTATGAGATTTTCTGGTATATTTTCAGAAATTGTACTTCCACATTACAACCTGCTTTCTGTACCAGTCTTTGCCTAGCCTCTGAAAAAATTACCTTCTCCAGAATGCAATAAAAATAGCAATTACTTTGCTTTGTATCATGGATCTTTAAATATTAATGCAACTACAACATAGAATCTCTGTGCAAGGTTATCTGACTTGAGAGTAGGTTTCCTTGGAAGCAACATTAACCAGGAAGAGCTGAGAGACCTGTTATGTATTCTGCTTTAACAAGTTTTAAATAGAAGCTTGAATGGATACAGGATTACACCTGAATATGGCAGGCTAAATTCAACACAGATACACCCAACGTATCAACCATACTGATTTCTGTAAGAATCTATGCTGCTTTCAACAAGAATCAAAGGAGATTTTGGCATTCTATCTCATATCTGTGCATTGAACATATCAAGTAAATCAGACAGAGAAAAAACACTTATATCAATTAGTCACAAGTTTCATAGGAAGCCCTTAGTTAATACAAGGACTTTAACTTATATCAACATACTTCTGAAGAGTGAGGCTTAAGTTGTGGCTGGCTGACTTGATCTTGTTCTGGGCCTCTAAGTGGGTCATGCTGTCAGTGTTGACTCCATCAATGGCTACCACAAGGTCACCTTGGTTCATCTGTGACTGTGCCGCCTTACCACCAGGGGTGATCTGTGTGGGAAAAGGAAAAAAAGTCGTATGAGGATAAGTCATTCTGTAGGTAAAGCTCTCACAGAGAACTCAACCAGATTTTTAATGAGGAATAGATGCAGCAATAAATACAGTAATAGATACAACATCAGCTGTATCTGTTATTGTACGGGTGGAACAACAAAATTTACAGAAATTAAACTCAAAGTTAACTCACATTTCAGGAACACATCCACTTGCTATTACTTCCATTTTGAGAGGTTAAGCCCAATGCAGTGGTTCCCTTACCACATACTATCTCCTCCTCAAGGAAATAATAATTACTATTTATATTGGATTACTATATAGATACATTACTCAGAAGCAGAAAACCAATGAACTACTGCATGATTTTATTGTATTTTTCCTCCTAAACCCCGTTTTTCTCAAACTGATTCATTATATTGAGCAGACAGAAAATGAATGTGTGTAAGGGGCCTCGGACATGCTTTGCATCTTTCACAGCAAGCTTGATAGAAAACCATTCTGCTTATCCTTACCCACATACAACTACAGCTCCATTACCAAACCAGATTACTATATACCCCAGAAGACCTCATCAACCTGTTGGACCTGACACTCCAAAGGCAGACCAGCACTTTTAGAAATAAGAAGCCACAATGCTTCAACTACAAACCCAACTACTGAGACAACAGCTCAAAAGCTCAAAATGGCATCACATTTTGTTATCTCCAGATGTCTTGTGAACTGCATCTTCTCTGAATGGACAGTGTCCTGACCTCAGTTTTACACAGTCCTCTCTGCTTGCACAGGATGACACTGATACAGTATAGCTACTTAATGAAACTTGACTCCATTAGGGAACTCCAACTAAAACAATGAAACTTGAGGCCATTAGGGAACTCCAACTAAAACAATGAAACTTGACACCATTAGGGAACTCCAACTAAAACAGAAGAACTTTCACATACCATCAGATTTTAGTGAGCACATTAGAGTTGTCCTGTTTTCAGCACTCAGTACTTAAAGGGTATGGCCATAAGCTATAGGTCTTTGCTCTCATTTTTAGATACTCCCCTACATTCCTCACTTCTATGAAAACCCTAGGATAATCTAAAATACTACAGCAAAGGCTACAGTGAAAAAGTCTGTTCCTTCACCACATTGAACATAAAATAAAGATGTGTCTGATTATGAGCCAAAATTCTCCTGTGAATTCAGCCAGACAAATGGGAACTTAAATTCCTAAGGAAACCAAAACCCAACACAAATCCACACACTTTTCATCATCAAATGTTACGTGAAATTCCTTAACCTACCTTTCCCCAATATGAACTCCAAACACTTAAAAAATTCCTTCCAAAACAATTTTCTAGACTGCTTCTTTATTCTCTTCACTTACAAAGAAGAAAAAAACAGAAAAAAAAATCTTAACACCCCACTAAAGGTGCTCAGTATTGATGCTGGCAGTGTAATTGACAGTGTAATCTGACAATGGGAGTTGTCATCTTACTAGAACAAATGCTCTAGTGTCGGGATGCTAGAACACAGCACCCCGAATACATGGACACTCTACATAAAAACAGAGATTACTTTGGAATTAGGCACTGTAAACAACATCCCAGAACTGATCTGACTGGAAGAGACAGCTTTCTATTCCTTTTCATTAGAGATAAAACCAATCAGAACCCTATGATTTCCAAGTGAAGGACAGCCACAGATACAATGTTCTAATGCAAAGTAGACTGATGATGGCAGTGCCATTCCCTGATGTATTTTTCTGGTGTTAAGGAACTGAGCAGTGGGGAAAATGCTTCCTGGTAGTTTCAAAGATGGAGTTTTATTCTGCTGTCTAATGCACCCTCACAGAAAGAGATTAGTAGAAACAAGAGACTCGTATTGCAAGCATTGTTTTCCTAGCCTATTATACAAACATTAGCTTCTATGCTATGTAATTTCATTGACTTGCATGGTGTGAAGTACACAGAATCCAGAAGCCTATAAGGAATACGGATTATTTGCAAACCTACCTGCATAGTTACTGAAAGACCCTGGATCTGTAATCTGTTTAAAATATTCAAATCAAACTACAAAATTACACCTATTTTAGTTAGAAGCTAACAGGCTTCTCTGAGATTTTCAAGTGAACCCACTGTGTGTGTTTCCAGCAGACATTAAGAACAGTCAGTAATTGTTGGGGACAAAATACCAGTGTACAGATGGAAATACACGGCAGCCAGATCTAAAGTGTCAAGGCACATTCATGACTATCTTGTTCCCATTTTTAAAGATCCAGCAGAAAGGAATGGAATGCAAAGTGTTTATCTGTTGGTATTTTCCTTTGAAAATTCATCTCTGATCCACTGAAAATTTACTAAATATAATCACAAAGAGAGAAGATCTCACTGTGCCTCTGAGGAATCTTTCAGGATTATTTTCTATTTAAAAAGCTTTTTAAAAATATTTTTATAAACGAAGGGTGAATGATAATTAATTCTTGGACTCAGACTGCAAATCCAGATCTGTCTACACAGTAAATTCTAGTTTGCCCTCATCTCAGCCTCTCTTCTATTAACAGCAGTAATGAAAGAAATACAGTACTATCTAGACCAAATATGCATTTTCCAATTTGACCACCAATGTATTTTTCTTAGAACTTCTCTGGGCAAGATCTAGACAGAACTATTTCAGAAAACCTTTGTAACTCACTTGCTCTGGATTACAACATTAGCTTTCAGACACTAGGTGCTCCAAACACCTTTATTCGAGGGTACAGTGGTATGTTCCCCAGAGGGTCAGCGTATAGCTATTTCTGTCAACTGACTTCCAAAATTCAAGCCAGGATACCACTGACATCTACTTTTAACAGTACTTCTTTAGCACCTCAAGCCCAAGCACAGACTTCACCTTGAAAAGCCAAGTATTTTTCTCTCAGAAAAGCAGAGGAACACTTGCTGCTTCAGATACCTGAATTTTCAGCCCTCACAGATTTCTTATGAGGCAGACATCTGACTTCCAGTATTCCCAGCTTAAAGCAAGTGGGCAGGCTGGAAGTACCACATGTTGCTTTCAATGCACTACAGAGAATTCTTACTACGCTTGTTGTGAGCAGATCTGTATACTGGGTGAATATATAGTACGATAGTGACAGCTGTGCCCTAAACATTAAGTCTGCACTGGGTTCAGAGTAACTACTACTTAGCAGGAGCTCTGAGAGGCAGTGTACAAAGTGCAGCTGCTGCACCACCTTGAGAACAGCAAGTGTTCCCACCCAAGCCCACTCAGCTACACTCCAGAGGGGGACAGAATAGGGATCAGGCATCATTTGGATGGCTGAGTGTTAAAATACTAACAAGAATGCTTGTACAAACAGATGGACGGACACAGCTTTCCTACCCCAAGGAACTCCTCATTTACAAGTCAGACAAAAATACATAGGGAGGCCTATAGAACTGAGAGGTGTTAATGCAGTAGCTTGCAGCATTAGCTAGGGTATCTTCTTTCAGCAGGACTTGAGTTATGCCTGACCCCTTCCTGACCTCAACCCCAAAGTCAGCAAGTTATATTTTCCACTTTTCAGAGAATCAAGTATTTGCTAGCAACAGACATATGCTAAAGCACTAGAAGTGAATACTCTCTCCTTTTCAGGATCCCTGGAATAGAAGAAAATATTAAAAGAAAATACAGTATAATACACTTTTACAAAAGTAGACTATAATACACTCTTACAAGAAAATGAAAGGACAATAAGGATTATTAGAAAATATGCTTCCTTTACAGAGAAAAGAGCATTTAAGTCTCCCCGTTACATTTTCCAAGTGGATTTTTGTACAGATGCTTCCAACAAGCCTTCATAGGCTTTTTAAGCACTGAGGCTCATGCCAGCTCATTTAGATTCCTCATTTAGAAAATAGGAGCACAACCTACTGAAATGAGGAAAGACATGCTTTGAAACCCCACTGCAGTACAGTCACACTGAACTGGTGAATGCCCATATGAATACAAGGAGTTATGTCTGGACTGAAGACATCAGTTCCTCTACCACTGTGAACAAGTTGAGGAAATTTATATTGTTTCCTAAATCATACAATCATAGAATGGTCTCTGTTGCAAGGGACCTTAAAGATCATCTAGTTCCACACCCCCTACCACGGGCAGAGACACCTTTCACTAGACCAAGTTGCTCAAAGCCCCAACCAACCTGGCCTTGAATGCTGCCAGGGATGGGGCAACCACAACTTCTCTGGACAACCTGTTCCAGTGTCTAACCACACTCACAGTAAAGAGCTTCTTCCTAATATGTAACCTAAACCTCCCCTCCTTCAGTTCAAAGCCATTCCCCCTTCTCCTATCCCTACATACCCTTTCAAAAATTCCCTCTCCAGCTTTCTTGTAGACCCCCATTAGGTACTGGAAGGTGCCCTAAGGTCTCCCTCGAGTCTTCTTCAAGCTAAACAAGCCCAACTCTCTCAGCCTGTCTTCATAGCACAGGTGCTCCAGCCTCTCAGCATCTAATTGTGTCACTTTCTATAATACGGCTCAAAGGGAAAATCATGGATTTTCCTAGAAAATATAATACAATTCAATAAAACAGCAAAGAAAAGAAATAAAACCCAGTAGGACAAACCACAGGCAAGAAAATACACCAATTTCATGCAACACATTAGCAGAAGACATGAAACAGGAACAGAGAGAGAAACAGCCTAGGTAGTGGAATGTTTGCTTTGTGGTGCAGACTATCTTTGATGGTGATTTTTACACCTTTCAGTGTCAGCTGATAAATGTAAAGACAGAGAACTGCAAGAAACTGGAAATGCAAGTATTTGCATTACTAACCAAGCCTAAAGAAAATTCCCTTTTTGCAGCTACCATTTTCCTCAATCATATGTCTCATTGTTTTCAATTTACTACCAGGGTTTAATTTATTTTTGCTCCTTTCTGCTTTGCTCTTAATGAGACAACAAAACCTGCCTTAAATGAACATTCATGGCATCTGCAAAATATGCCACTGACACCTTGAA